AGATCACACTTTGAGTAGCAAGCTTGTCAGTAACATTGTATACATTTTATGTTTATATTTCCAATTTATAGGTAAGAACCCCCCCCCAACCTCCTGCTATAGCATTTATAATACAAACTGCAGAAAGTAAAGGGGACAAATTGTTGACAGAGGAAGAAAGGTCATGGGCATCCAGAAGACGGAGAGTCAAATGCCTGGGGAGGGGGTCTGTGGTTGATGGGATGTGGGAGACACATTTGCTAATGGCATTTTGTGGCACATATATGGAATTATGTCCCTCTGGACTGTGTCTGAAGTGTAGCATTAAGATGTTTTATCTAACATTTGATGGAGTTGCTGAAGTCTACAGCCCAAAAGGGATGGGTGTGGGTAGGGTAGGGGGTCATGGTGCAACCCATTTATTCCTCTCTTGATGGACATCTGAATTGTTTCTATTGACTTTCTTCCTATACACTTTATTTTGTACTGTCTGAATTTTGTATCATCTGTTACTTTTGTGGTCAGGGAAAAATAAAGAACCAGAGGTCTGGGGCGGCAGGGTGGGTGGAACTAAAGGCTGAGTTTCCCTAAATTATCAAGAGCCCTTGCAACTCATGGTGAGAAAAAACATAAACACTCCAAAAGAAAGATGTTAATTGGGGTTCCTGGATGGCTCATTGGGTTAAGCCTCTGCCTTCGGCTCAGGTCATGGTCTCAGGGTCCTGGGATCAAGTCCCACATTGGGCTTTCTGCTTGGCAGGGAGCCTGCTTCCCCCTCTCTCTGTGCCTGCCTCTTTGCCTACTTTGTGATCTCTCTCTCTCTGTCAAATATATAAATAAATAAAATCTTTAAAAAAAGATGTTAATCATAGCAAACACATACTATGTTCCGGGAACATAGGGTTTTGCATATATTAATTAATTTAATCTTCATAACTATCCTATATATTCAGTACCATCATTACTCCTTCTTGTAGATGAGGAAACAGAGACACAGAGAGGTTTAGTAACTTGGCCAAAGTCACAATCTTGTAAGTGGCAGAGCTGGGGTTTGAACCCCAAGCTCTTAACCATTACTACCCTGCTTCCCAGGCAAAATAGGAAAAGGACATGTACAGAGTAAGGACATGAGATACTCGATCTCACTCAACCCATTGTATTTCAGTGATTCTAAGATGCACGTTTTTGCATTCAAACATCTCTGGAATCAGGATGCATCTTACAATCAATGATATCTTAGATTCAGTGAAATAGAGTAGGAGAAATGCAAATTAAAACCACCTATCAGATTGGCAAAGGACAAAACACTTGATAACACACTGTGCTGGCAGGGGTGTGGGGAACCTGGCACTCTCCAAAGTTGTGAGTTGGAAGGTAGTTTGGCCTATGAGCTATACAAAGGGAACACAGACATCCTGGGCCCAACAGTTTGGTTCCTAGGACCTGACCCCTCAGGTCTACTGGCCCTCGTGAGCAAAGACTTAGGTTCTCCTGTGCAGTTCTTATTATCCAAGATTGAAAACAACATCAGTGTCCAACAGAAGATGAGTTAAAACAGGAAAGTCCATTCTGAAGTTGGAATGCTACACAGCTGTCAAAAAGAGGAAGGAAGCAATCCATAGAACACTGTCTCCACAACACAGTAAAAAAAGGCAAGTGTGGAGCTGTATGTGTAATATTCTACCTATCATGTGAAAGCAGGGGCGGGCATGCCTCTGCCTGTCCGAGGGACTCCCAAGGGTCTTGTTGCAATAATGGCCTCTGGGGAGGGAAACTGAGGGCGTGGAGAACTCGAGTGGGAGCAATTTACTCTTCACTCTAGATGATGATGATGATGACGATGATGATGATGATGATTTGTAAAGGGCCAGATAGTATTTTAGGCTTTGACAGCCATTTGTCTCTCAACTTTGCCTCTGTATTAGATAATATGCAAATGAATGGGTGTAGCTATATTCCGGGAAAACTTGACCACACACTGAAATTTTTAAACTATGTGTTAGGGGATACTCTTTTTTTTTTTTTAAACCCCCCTTCCCCTCCAACCACTTAAAAAAAATGCTTATGGGGCCATAGAATGACAGGTGGAGCAGCTCTGGGTCCCTGGAGCTATCAGCCGACCACTGCTCTAGATCCTTCTGTACTGATTCTTACTCTTTACCTTATGCAGGCATTACCTATTAAAAAATATTTGGGGCGCCTGGGCGGCTCAGTCGGTTTAGCGTCCAACTCTTTTTTTTTTTTTGGCTCAGGTCATGATTTCAGAGTCATGAGATCGAGCCCCATTGTTGGGCTCCGCACTCAGTGCAGAATCTGCTTGAGATTCTCTCTCCCTCTGCCCCTCCACCTGCTCACCCTTTCTCTCAAATAAATAAAATCTTAAAAAAAAGTTTAGAGGGTAGAGATTTTTAGGTTTATCAAGGGGGTGGAGGTAAAGTTGGAGATAGGAGCCCTGCCCAGACCCCCTCTAGCAAGAAGCCCGCACAGAGGGGAGTTGCATGATGTTCCCAGCCCAGCTGGAAATACATGTTTGCCCTGCACTGTTTGCTACCTGCTCCACTCTACCACCAGATAGCAGCACAAATCCACCGAAAAGCGGGCCCTCCCCGCACTGGCTGGGAAGCTGAGGGCAGAAGTTGGCCCGTACACCTGTTTTATTTTGCCTACCATCTGTTTAAAAAATGGAACCAGCCTTTTAAAAAAAAATCTGGATTTCTGGTTCCTCTTTAATCAGCTGATGTGAGCAGCAGCTGCTCTCTGGGCTGCAGGTCCCCAGGGCACCCAGTCCTCAGTGTCAGCTGCTCTTTCCCGTCCCGCCCTGTAGCTGTTTTCTCGCTGGGTACACATTTCTCACTCGCCACCTGCCGCCTCACCTCCATCCCTCCGCTGGGGCTACAGGCCCGTGTTAAAGTAGAAGGGCTCCAGGGCAAATTAAGGCTCTGGTCCCAGCCCTGCCACCTATCAGCTGTGCGACCTTGGCCTGTTCCGTGACCCCAGTGTCTCAGTGTCCACCTGTGCAAATGGAGTTCACCTCTCAGGTTCAATGCATGGAGCTCTGTGGAGTCTGGCATGTGGTAAGCGTTCAGTGGATAATATTTTCCCCTGCCCAGCCCTCATGCGCATTTGTCTGCAGTGCCCACCCCATTCTCACAAATGACCCCCGGGTCTTGCCAAACCTTAAGACACAACCACCTCCTCTTAGCTTTTTAGTTATAGGAGTTAATCAAATTTCTTTAGCTATTTTTACTTATTTTCTGTTACTTATGATTGAACTCTGATTCCCCTTCCTTTTGTGATCCCCTCGGACAGTAGCAAATTAAGTCTAGCGGTGGACAAACTTTAAGGAAAATTAAGTTATGGGTCACATTTTTAAAAAAGCTTTATGATCACTCTAAAGAGTATTTTATCATCTCTGCCCCCCCCCCCACTTTTTTTGCTAGTATTGCAGAAACTAGCCCAGACTAGATACTGATTGTAATGTCTTTATGTTCACTACTGAATCTCAGTGCCTAGCACACGGGAGGTGGCTTATAACGTCTTTTCAGTGGATAAATGAACAAGATACTCATTTGTCTAAAATGTCTAGTGTCTCCCAACTTCCTCAGCCTTGAGGCTCCATGTAATAAATCCCTAATTTTCCAACCATATCTTCCACTTTCCCAGTATTCACTCCAGTCCGGCCCACTGTCTTTTAAAAACCTCAAACTTGTTCTTGCCTCAGGGCCTTTGCACTTGCCATCCAGTCTGCCAGCCTCTTCCCCCAGCTGGCTCCATCTTCTCCCACAGGTTTCAGGTTAAATGTCCCTCCTTGGAGAGACCCTCCTTGACCACCCTGCCAAAGCTACCCCACCCTGCTTTTCCAATATGATACATTATTTTTTATTTTCTTCACAAATCACCATCTGAATGTACATGTGCATTTATTTATGTTTATTGTCTCCTCGGGAGGTCAACTCCACCAGGGTTAAGTCCTTGTCTGTCTGTTGACTGCTGTGTGCCCCAGTGTCCAGGTCAGAGCCCGGCACATGCCAAGAACATCTGCTGAAGGAATTCACTAATAGGGATCTGCCTTCATCACTCTACCCTCATGATCTCCTGCAGGAAGAACATTCCTCATCCAGCCGTGGGTCCCCTCCAAAAGTGGAGCAGATGGCAACATTGATTCACTGTCTCAGGTGACGAAGCTCCCATTCTGAGCCCAAGATGGGAAGCGGGGAGCTAGGAATGGGATGGGGGTGGGGCCTTACCTTCTAGGATCCTTAACCACCCCCCTTCCCCACCAGCCAACCAGGAAACACGAGGCAGCCGAGGATAAGTAGACTCTTGCTGCTTTGTTATAAATATATTATGTACATCCAAAACATGACATTAAAATATTACTCCGTGTTACAGAAAAGATATTAAGGCTTTCTATTATTTACATTAAACAAGCAAGCACCTTTAAAAAAAAAAAAAAACCAACCAAAACAAAAAAGCCCCTTACTTCCTTCTCGGACATCCCCCTAGCCAAAGGGGACTCTGTAGTCCCTTCCCAAAGACCAGGACCCTTTGCAGGGGCTGCGCTCTGTGAACACATCCTTTGATTAGAAATATCAGCTCTGGCTGGAATCCCATGGGCAGCTGGGGAGGGGACAGGGGGAGGAGGTCCAGGCTTGGGCAGGGGATTCCTGCCTCTTCCGGCCGGCTGCCCTCAGGCGCTTGCTGCACTTGGGCCATCCTTGGGTGGACAGGCCAGGCCGAAGGTGGTGCCTGGGGCAGCTCCTAGACCGCTGGGGCAAACAAGACAGAGAAGACAGTTCCATGGCCCCAGTGCCAGCCACACTGAAGGGCCGCCCAGTGAGGCGGGGGGCCTGGAGGAGGGCAGGGAGTGGGTGAGCTTCCCCTCTACCCAAGGAATGGCTGGCAGGGTGGAGCTCCTTTTTCTGCAGAGTCAGGCTCGGAGACAGAGCAGCTCAGGTGGCTGGGGAGGGGCCCAGGAAAGAAAATGAAAAAAAAAAAAAAAAAAAAAAAAAAAAGGAAAAGAAAAATCAGTGGCTCAAGTATTCTGTGTCACAAGGGGTGGGCTGGGGGGTGCCCGGGCCCAGCCCAGGAGGCGTCCTCTCCATCTGGAGGGGTCAGCACGAGGAGGCTGGAATTTGGCAGATGGCTTCGGTTTGGGGGGCTGGGGAAGGTTGGCAGTTAAGGTGGCAGGCTCGGAGGAGCTATTTGATCTTCTGGGCCCATTTCATGTCGTCTGCCCGAGGCTTCTCGCCGGTCAGGCCCTGGATGAGGTCCTCCAGGCGTCGCCAGAAGCCCATCTTTTCCAGAGGGTAGTTGAGCCAACCTGCAGTGGAAAGAGGGCACCGGGGGGTTGAATGGGAGAGCAGCAGTCGAGGAGAGGGAAGGAAAGGGCTGGCTTTGCTTGGGGCAGGAACACTGAGGAGTAAGTCTGTATAGGGCAGGGGACAAGGGCTGACCAAGGAGTCTGGGGAAGGGGACCTCCCACTAATGGGCTTCGGGGCTGCTCAGACATGCCACTGTCCTCTCACTCATTCACTTTCTTACCCTGTGCTTAGTATGTGCCAGGCACAGTGGCAGCGTTTCTTATCACTGGGCTCACCTGCCACCTCTTCCAGGAAGCCTTCCTTGACACATCACCCTCTTTTGTTTTGTTATAGCTTTTATGATAACCTATAACCATTCTCCACCTTCTAATTCACCACCTTCCCGTGTTGTGTTGGTTTTTCTCTGCAACTCCCAACTAGAATGTCCTGCTCCACACGGCAGAACCCCCAGGTTTTCCCACTGGGGATCCCACTGGCGCAGAGTAGATGCTCCAGAAATACTGCTTACAATCCTACTTTCTATTACAGCACCCCCGCCGCCCCCAATCATGAGGTAGGTACTATTCATCCCATTTTCCAGATGTGAAGACTGGCTTGGAGTGGAGTCTCCTGAGTGGGTGGCCAAACCAGGAGGGATCCTAGGCCTGGCTGAGCAGTGACCTGATCTCCTCAACAGCCTAAATTCTAACCCCTCCCCCTGCCCTTAAAGAACATGACTTTCAGACATGCAAAAAAATATTTCTTGTGGTTCTCCGCTCTGCCTCCAGAAAGGCAACGCCCCCTGCTCCCTGTGCAAACCAGGAGTTGTGCCTGATCCGGGCCCTCTGACGGACCAAGCACCTGGCGCCTGCCACAGTGCCATTCACAGCCCAGCGGGGGAAGGTGGCACGTAAGGAGGGGGCTGTGGGCCCCATCCTGTGGGGGAGAAAAAGGACACCCAGTGAGGTCTGTGAGACTCGTAAGAGCCAATGCCGGCCTGACTTGCTGTCGGATGCTGAGAGCAGCTCTGCCACGCCTAAGTTGGATGCCAGCTGGCCCCGGCAAACCAGCTCCATTTACCTTTGGTACCAGTCCGTGAACAACCAATGGCATGTGGGTCTCCCGACTGTTCCTCAGCCACACCAGGCATGCTCCTGCCTCAGGGCCTTTGCACTTGCTATTCCCTTTGTCTGAACTGGTCTGTCCTGACTTGGCTGCCAGGTCCCTCTCACACTTGTTTTTGGATTCCTCACCTCCTTCTACGAACAGCTACTTCTGCTTCCTCACTCCATGACTCTCTGCCCTTCACATTGCTCTGCCCCCCATAGGGGGGGCATTTCTCTTATCTAGACTCAGTCATCTCCCCTCTCCTCTGCCCCCGATGCCCTTCGCTCCAGCCACACGAACCACCTTGCCGTTCCTCAAACCAACCAGGCATGTGCGTTCCTCCTTCAGGCACTTTGCACCTGCTGCTCCCTGTGGCTTTGGCGTGCTCTTCCTTCAGATCTGCACTGTTTTGTCCCCCAGCTCAAATGTCACCTTCTCAGGGAGGCCCTCACCGCCTTCTCTCAAGGGTGAAGGCCCCCATTTCCTTCTCCTACCCTTTGCTTTGTTCTGCTCCAGAGCAGTTGGCATGGTTAAATGTACTACTTACGTACGGTCTGGCATGTCCCCTACGAGAACGGGAACGCCACCAAGGCAGGGATTTGTGCCCGTGTCTGTTTAGTGCTGTGTTCTAAGCCCAGGACAGTGTGGGGCACACGGTGGGTGCTCAGCAAGTATTTGCTGGCTGGCTGGCTGGAATCCTAGCCCACGAGGTGGGAGGGGGGAGTGGGGAAGGTTGGCTCCCTTGCACTGCCGTGTCCTCTGCACCTGGACTGCTCGGCACATAGTAGGTCTGTGGTGTTGTAAGAGCAAGTTCCTGCTGGACAAGGATTCCAGCACCTCACCTCCTCCTGTGACCTCTGCCCTAGTGACCCCGAGGATGGAGCCACAGCGGGGGTGGGGTGGGGATGGCCTATTCCAGGTCACCCCGCAGCCGCACCTGTGGTGATGCAGAAGTAGGTCTCGTGGGGGGAGACGTGGTGGATGCGGTGGTGTTTGCGTGGCAGGATGATGTGCCAGTCCTGCAGGAGGGTGACCCAGCGTGGCAGCCCAAAGTACGTGTGGGACCACTTGTGGATCTGGTTGGTGAAGGTGCCGAAGATGATCAGGCAGAAGACGAAGCACTCCCAGGGGTACTGCGGCTCCAGGGCTTCTGCAGGTCGGGGAGAAGGGGGTGCACACAGGGCCACAGGGTGGTCACAGGGCGGGGCCACCACCAGCCTGGTCCTCACCGCTTGCGCTGGGACAGCTTCCCGGCCTCTCCCTGCCCCCCTGCCCCTGCCAATGGTCTCAGGCAAGTTCAGACTCCCCTCTGGGCCTCAGTCTTCTCTTCTGTTCAGTGGGCAGATAATGGAGTCAGTGGATGAAAAAATTACAGATGTGGGCTCTGGAGTCAGGCAGAGCCGGCTTCAGGTCCGTGCTCTGACATTTCTTGGCTATATGAGCTTGGGTCAGTGCCTCTGCCTCTTTGAGTCTCAACCTTGTCATCAGTAAAATGGGAGTAAGTCTTTGTCCAGGTTCCCTAGAAGCAGAGCCTGAGACAAGGGTTCACGTGCTCAGAATTTATATGAGGAGGAATGGGAGAGGCGTCCTCTGTTCAGAAAAACATCTGAGGGGGTAAGGGAAGCAGGGGGAGAGCTAAGCAGTGATGGGGTTAGGGGAGTCTTGTCTCCGCCTGATCCTGGGGGGCAGCTCTGGAGGGTTAATGGCTTCGTAGAGGTGGTCCCACCCGAGGTGAGAGGGCTGGTCTTCTGTAGGTTTTTCCTGTCACTTTAGGCTTAGGCTTTATTTAATTTTATTTTTTATTTTTATTTTTTAAAGATTTTTATTTTATTTGACAGAGGGAGAGATCACAAGTAGGCAGAGAGGCAGGCAGAGAGAGAGGAGGGGAAGCAGGCTCCCCACTGAGCAGAGAGCCTGATGCGGGGCTCAATTCCAGGACCCCGGGATCATGACCTGAGCCGAAGGCAGAGGCTTTAACCCACTGAGCCACCCAGGCACCCCATAGGCTTAGGCTTTAGACTTATCCCAAGGGGAGAGGTGGGACCTGCTCTGGCAGTTCTCAGAAGGGACAGCTGGGAGCAGCCACCACTCATGGCAACTGGGGGATGGGCGCCTGCCTGTGTAAGAGGATACAGGCGGGCACTGCAGCGGCCACTGTACCACAGAAACTCCTCACATCTACCCACAGAGGGAGGGGCTGCTCTAAGGATCCACAAGGGGTCAAGTTGTTAGAATAAGACCTGGCACAGGGAAAGTACTCACCAACCCCCCTCCTCCCCGGCCCACCTGACAGGTAACTGCCGCTCACTGAGGTGAAAATGACTTTCTTTCTTCCCCCAAACAGGCAGGGAGAGATCAGAACTCAGAACTTCCTGAGTTCACAGCCTGTATTCTCATGACTAAGCCAGGGCAGCCAAGCCAGCGGCCCTCAGGGCCTGGCAGGCCACACCCAGGAGCAAGGTGGGCCAGGGGTCGGGCAGCAGGGGTCATGGGGACCGTCTAAAGATGGCGGCCACGGCTCCTGCTCCATGAAGCCAAATGGGAACAAGGACCCAGGATGGCCAGAGCAGATTGTCCAAGAGAAGCTGGGAACACAGATTTTTATATACTGCAATTTTACAGGACGGTAACTAAAAGTGTTTTCTAAGGTTGCAAGGGGACTCTGGCCCCTCCGCTGGTTGGTGCACTCACCGGGGCTCTGGGTGCGGAACTTGTAGGCCATGTTCAGTAGGGGCAGCAGGGTCACCAGGCAGTTGTCGCCGTTTGTCTCGATGAAGTCGTGTCGGGTGATGGCTGTGGGGTCGATGTGATGCTCTCGGAAGGGTCGAATGAAAGCCTGGGATGAGGGTGGGGGCCAGAGACGGGACAGATGGGACCAGTTGGCCTGTGGCGGCCAGCCCCCTCTCTACCACCTCCTGTGCACACCAGACTCAGGCTCGCCTCCTGGCCTTTGGGATGCCGGAACATTCCACCATGCTGCCGACGCAGAGCCCACCCGGCCTTCAGGGTCCAGGCCTCAACAGCTTTGGCAGAAGACAGTCCTAATGACTTGGCCGGGACCTCAGGATGGTACTGCCCCCTGAGGGCCTCAGTCTCCCCCTCAGGGGTGGGAGGGGAGTCGCAGAGATCTCTACCCTTCTTCCCCACTCTGATACAGTTGAGGACGCCTCTCACAGTGGCAGGCAGGCCGCCCTCTTTTTCTCCCCCACGGCCACACCCCTCATGGTAACCGTCTCCCCATCTTCCTCTTGTATTGGTACATGCTGTTCCGATGGGGCTGACCAACCAACCAACCCCCTAGTTAAAAGTGAGCATGTGATCCTGGCCTGGCCAATCAGACCATTTCCCTGCCACAGTGCAGGACAGGGATGGGCATGTGACCTCCGCTGGGCCAGTGGGAGGGAGCCATGGGACTTTGGCTCTAACTGTGGGAAAGGAGAGTTCTCCTTCCACCGACAGGGCCAAGCTGGTAGGATGAAGGAAAAGCCTAGGTGACAATGAAGCCAACAGAGAGTAAAGCGGAGGGAGCCGTGGAGAGAGAAAGAATCATGAGAACATGGTATGACTGGACTTCTGGGTCTGTCCTACTGGACCCAGCAACGCTTTACGTTGGTTCCACTCTACTGTTCAGTTACATGAATCATGACCTTTGGTTAAGCCAGCTTGTACTGGACTTTGTCACAACCAAAGGAACCTGACAGAAGGTTAAGTTCAATTAAACGAACAGTTAGGGACACCAGGGCTGGCAAAAGAGAACAAGACGTGGCCCCCAAATTCAGGGGGTTCAAAGCTTTCTGACTATCCCAGGCTTCATGTTTTTGCTTCCAGAAAATCCCAGGGGGTTTTCTAGTCTGTTCTCGTCCCAGAGGAGGGGCCTGGGGTCAGACTGGAACAATGGTTTCTGTCTTTCAAACAGGGAAATGGGAGGCTCTGAGAGGGAGGGGCCTCACCCAAGGTCAGACAGCCCAACCCCCTGCTAGGTGGCAGGGCTGGGTCAACAGTACATACCTTCCCCACGATGGGCAGCTCCACAGAGCCCCAAGTGTCAGCTCCCCAGTGCACCAGGCCAGACAAGAAGTCAGCAATGAGAGCTCCTGCAACTGTGGACAAGAGGAAGGTGAGGTAGGGGTGGGGGACCCCAAGGGACAGTCCTGCCATCCACCCCACAGTAAGGAGCCCCTTGTTCACTCGCCTGCCTGCTCACTCACTCATTTGTAATGGGGGGTGATGTCCCTTCTCTACTTGGGTTGCTTTTTCCCTTCTGAATGGAGCCTTAGGTGTAACACTCTTGTCCCTTTACTTGCTCTGCCCAGGGTATATGTGGGGACTCAATCGCTCGGTGAGTCTGGAGGACATAAACTGGGCATGAGCAGATCAACTCAACTTTTGCCTGTTAGGAGCTGACTGCGCGCTTCTCTCTGGCCCCCAGGCACTAGAGGGAAGCCTGCTCTGTTCCAGTGCTGCCAGTGACTAGACGGAAGTATCCTTCTGGGGTCTGCTGTCGGCAAACACCTCACGAGTAGACGGGAGCCACGCCTTCCTCCCCAACCTGGCTTTTATCACAATAAATGTCACGATTTGGTCTCTGGCAGCCTTTTCCTTGACTTTGTTCTCAATGTGTTCGGAACTGGACTGGGGTTCCCTCAAAGACCCCAACACCGTTCACTCACTTGAGGGCTCAGTATAATACAGAGGTTAAGAGCTGTCAGATCTGGACTTAAATCCTAGCTGTCTCTCACTAGCTGTGTGACGTTGGGCATGATACTGAACCTCTCTGTGTCCTAGTTTCCTTTAGGTGGATGGGAATGGTCATCACACAAAAAAAGCAGCTGTCATTTATTGAGCACTTTTGGTACCAGACACAAGCTCTTTGCATGCTTGATCTCAGTGGGTCCCCACAGTCTGTTCCAAGTTGGTACCATCCTCACGCTCTCCTTACAGAGGTGGAAACAGGAGGCCTGGAGAACAGAAGGGACTAGGCAGAGGCCACAAAGATGGCAAGTGGCACAGCGGGGCTCTTAACCTGCCTTGAGGTCCAAATCTACTTCCCCTGCACACGGGGGGAAACTGAGGCAGGTTGGCCCACTGCCTGTACAAGGGAGCACCCCAGTGCCGTCCCCCATTACTCTCCCTGCTCACTGCCATCTCAGCCCTCCTGGCTTATTCCCTCTCCCCCTGCACACCCTCACATGCCTCTGCATCTCTCTCTCTCTTTGCATTTGCTGTTCCCTCTGCTGGGAATGTTCCTTCCCCAGGTGTGGCGTGGCACACTCCTTCACTTCCTCCAGGGCTTTGTCAAACATCTGCTGGAGACACCTGATCTAAAATTATCACCACCCCCAGCTTCCAGCATCTCCTGTCTCCTTTCTTTCTCTCCAAGCACCTATCCTCTATTTGCTCATGGTCTCCCTCGCTCAAGAATGTCAACTCCACAAAAATCTTTTGAGACACACCAGGAACCTTTTAGGGGTTCTCTGAGTTCTTCTGGGGTCCTTACCTCCTTGGTGACAGGGGACCAGGGCCTTGGGACACTGTGGAGGCTGCAGAAAAACCCCTAGGTGCCGTCTAGGCTGGGCAGTCCTGCTCCTCGGTGACACCTGGGCTAGGGGAGTGGGGAAGGCTGGGGACTAAAGCCAAGGGCTTTTTTTTTTTCCTTTAAAATTTTATTTAGGGCTAGGGGCGCCTGGGTGGCTCAATCGTTAAGTGTCTGCCTTTGGCTCAGGTCATGATCCCAGAATCCTGGGATCGAGCCCCGCATCGGGCTCCCTGCTCAGCAGGAAGCCTGTTTCTCCCTCTCCCTCTCCCACTCCCCGTGCTTGTGTTCCCTCTCTTGCTGTCTCTCTCTGTCAAATAAATAAATAAAATCTTAAAAAAAAAAAAAAAAGACTTTATTTAGGGCTGCCTGGGTAGCTCAGGCAGTGAAGTGACTGCCTTCAGCTCAGGTCATGATCCGAGGGTCTTGCTCCTTGCTCGGCGGGGAGTCTGCCTCCCCCTCTTCCTCTGTCTCTCCCACCCCCCCCCACTTGTGCTCTTTCTCTCTCTCAAATAAATAAAATCTTTATTTATTTTTTAATTTCATTCATTTATTTGAGAGTGAGCAGAGAGAGGACAAGTGGTGGCGGCGGGGGGGAGAGGAAGCAGGAGGAGAAGGAGAAGCAGACTCCCTGCTGAGCACAGAGCAGGACTCCTGGCTTGATTCTAAGACTCCGGGATCATGGTCTGAGCTAAAGGCAGTCGCTTCACCCACTGAGCCACCCAGGTGGCCCCAAGCAAAGGGCTTCTGCCTTTGCTGCTCCCCTATGTCATATTCCATCTCTCCCTGAAGATCCCCAGCAGGGGGAGGGGGGCTAATCCTCCTTGGCTCGGGGCAAACATCACCCCAGACCCCTGGCTAAAGCCACCCTCCCAGGCAGGTGCTAGGTCACATCGCCCTGCTTTATCTGTCACGGCACATCCTTTTTTCCTGCTGAGCCGTATTCCGTAGTCGGGATGCGCCATGGGGCATTTTTAGCTGCTGGACGTCTGGGTGGTTTCCAGGTGCAGCTGCTAGGAGTCGAGGCTGTGAACGTTCACACGCAAGCCTGTGGGCAGACACGTGCCTGCACTGCCTCGGGGGCCAAGATGCCAGCTACGTATTTGTTCTCACTCAACATTTATGGAGCACTTACAGGTGCCAGGCCCTGTGCCAGCACCTTAAATGCTTTATCTCTCTTAATCCCTAAACTGGACCAAGGCTAGTCGTAAACCGGTTACACATCTAATCTCCTTAATCGTCGTAAGCATTTAATCCTTACAGATGACAAGAATGATAATAATGAAAATAAGAGAAAAACAATATTTATGATAGTGGCTACCACTTACAGAGCTCTCCCTGTGTGCCAGGCCCTGCATCAAAGATGTTAAAAATGGGGGTGCCCGGGTGGTTCAGTGGGTCAATAAGCGTCTGCCTTCGGCTCAGGTCATGATCTCAGGGTCCTGGGATCGAGCCCCGCATCGGGCTCTCTGATTCTCCCTCTCCCTCTCCTCCTCCCCACTGCATATATGCGCACTCTCTCATTCCCATAGAGGGACATCCTATGAGATCAGGGCTCCTCAAAACTGTCAAGGTCACCAAAAACGAGGAAAGCCTGAGAAACTGTCACAACCAAGAGGAACCTAAAGGAACATGAGAAATAAATGTGAGTGGGATCCTAGATGGGATCCTGGAACAGAAAAAGGCCACACTGGGTCGAAACTAAGGAAATCGGAATAAACGATGGACTTTAATTCATAATAAATGTATCCGTATTGGTATCTTAACTGTAACAAATGTACAGACACTAATGTAAAATATAAGATGTTAACAGTAAGGGCAACTGGGGGCAGGGTCTGTGTGGGAACTCTACGTACTCCCTGCTGATTTTCTGTAAATCTAAAACTTTTAGTAAATAAACTCTGTTTTTGAAAAACTGCATCATCTTAGTTCACGTCCACAGCGATGGGGCCCAACCCATCCTGACTTTTCCAGACTTGGAGGGAAAGGGCGGTTGGGGCTGCAGGTGAGTAGCCAGGGACAATCGTGAGGGCAGTTCACAATGATGCTGAGCCTTCACATCCCGGTCTGAGAAATGGGGACGTTAATAGCACTTACTTTCCTTAAGCATGATCAGTTGATGAACTGGGCTGATGCTGGTAAAGTCAGTCGCTGGGATATGGTTAACGCTCCCAGGAGTGGCCCTAGTTAGTAGCTTAGGTGTTACCCCCCTCCCCAGGCCTCAGTCTTGTCATCTGTCAAATGACCGGCACCTGGCCTTTGCAGGCCCAAGCAGGGAGGGATGTGTGCTTTGGACAGATGTCAGGAATTATTTTATTTTTATTATTTTTTTAAAGATTATTTATTTATTTATTTGACAGATAGAGATCACAGGTAGGCAGCGAGGCAGGCAGAGAGAGAGGAGGAAGCGGGTTCCCCGCTGAGCAGAGAGCCCGATGTGGGGCTCGATCCCAGGACCCTGGGACCATGACCTGAGCCAACGGCAGAGGCTTTAACCCACTGAGCCACCCAGGCGCCCCAGGTGTCAGGAATTATTTTTGGAGAGAAGCACACCCCATCCTGAGGCTCTGTGAGCCCCGGGCCTGTGCAAGAGGCTGTTTCGAGAGCAGTGACTCCAGGACTCCTGGCCTGCTGCCTGAAGAGGCTGTGATGGGGGCAGGGGTGGCTGAGGCAAACACACAGGGCGTCTTTGTCCCAGTGTAGGAGGCAGTAGCTGGAGCTGGCTCATTCTGGGGGCAGCTTGGGGCTGGTCAGCACCCCATGTGCAGGACACTGAATAGGGTACAGGACTCATTCTAGGCTACCCTGACCCACCAGGTGGGGCCTTCATGTGGCCACAGGTCGGCCAGCTGTGCCTTGTTAGTCCCCTCCAATTTCAAGGCCTGGCATGGAGACAGGGAGAGCAGCTAAGACAGATGTGGTCACACCTAGGTGGCTCAATTGGTTAAGTGTCTGCCTTTGGCTCAGGTCATGATCCCTGCATCCAGGGATCCAGCCTGCATCAGCCTCCTTGCTCAGCAGGGAGCCTGCTTCTCCCTCTGCCTGCCCTCCCCTGCCCGCTCTCTCTCCTGCTGACAAATAAATAAAATCTTAAAAAAAAGAAAAAAGGGGTGCCTGGGTGGCTCAGTGGGTTGGGCCTCTGCCTTCGGCTTGGGTCATGATCTCGGGGTTCTGGCATTGAGCCCCGCGTCGGGCTCTCTGCTCAGTGGGGAGCCTGCTTCCCTTCCCCAATCTCTGTCTGCCTCTCTGCCTACTTGTGATCTCTGTCTGTCAAATAAATAAATAAAAATTAAAAAAAAAAAAAAAAAAAGAAAAGAAAAAAGGCATCAGCTGAAGCCAAGCTCCTCCACAGGGGCCTGGGCCAAATCCCGGCTTCACAAATCCCGGCTTCATCACCTTCATCACCTTTTCCCAGGTTTCAGCTTGACTCCTCACCTGACCTGAGGCCAGGTAACTTCAGACTTCAACACCAGTCTTTGCATTCACTGTGTTCCCTTGCCTAGAACGCCCTCCCCTCTACTAGTCCGCCAGAAACTCCTACTCAGTCCTCAAGGGCCAGCTCTCTAGCGCCCACGCTCAGCAAACAGCTCAAGGCTCCCAGGGATGTTCATTTGTTCACGCTTCTGCTGAGAACAATACTGTCCTTGTCAAGGTCACTGATGGCCTCCGTGTGGCCACATCCGGTGGTCCCCTCGCTGCCCGATCCTGCTGGTTTGCTCCGCGGCCGCTCCTAGTGGACCCCCAAGTCTTCTGGAGACACACTCTCCTCCTGCCTTCTGTAATCCCGCCCACCCCCTTGGCTGGCTCTTCTTCCTCCCCCGCCAGCCTGGAGCCACCAGGGCCTTGGGCCTCTTCTCGGCCTGTACCAGCCCCTTCGGGCACTCCGCCAGCATCTGAGCTTCAGACACCTCTTCTACTGCGAGGACCCCCCAGATTTCTATCCCTGGCCACCTTCCTGGACTCCAGACTCAGATTTCCAGCTTTGTGCTTGGCACCTTGCCCAGGCTCTCAGGCAGGCAGCTCAAGCATCCCCCACCCCCCAGCTGCCTCTTCCCACCTTTATTAATGGCCACCTCGTCCCTTCCATCCAAGCCTGAGAATTGCCATGGACAGGCCCTCCTCACCTCCACCACCGAGCTGACGGGGCACTCTGGCTGCTCGCCTCGCACAGCTTGCCGGAAATCTGATGGTTTTTCACCACCTCCACTGCCCTACCCAGTCTGGGCCACCATGCTCGCCTTTCTCCAGTCCTCCCGCCCCCATCCATCCTCCCTGCAGCTCATCAGTGGCCCCTCGTGGCCCACAGAACAAAACTCAGAGTCTAGACCACAGTCCTGCTGTCTACACCCCCCTCCTCCCACCTCTCTGAACGGCCACCTCTCGGATCAGCCTTCTTCAGCCACATTGGCTTCCTGTCGGTTCCCTGGACACACACCAGCCTCTGGGCCTTTGCACCTGCTGTTCCCTGCGACCCCTCCCCCAGATACCTGTCTAATCTCTTCCCTCACCTCCTTCAGGTGTCCTAGCAAATGCCACTTTTCCAGAAAGGCCTTCCCTGCCTGTTCTCTTATCTTCGTTTTGCTTCCCAGCATTGCATCATCAGTCTGTGTTTATTAACTGGGCACCTTTCCATGCTTCCGCCTCTCCTGGTTTCCAGGGCCTGCCAGGGGCACTGGAGCCTCTGGGGAGATAGTGCTGGGCCAGAGGTAGGCTCTGCAGACTGGCATGGTGCCTGGCCTCCTGCGTGTTAACACACAAATCAGGGTGGCTACTTAAATCGATTAGGGACTGTGCAAACATCACTATCAGGAGATTGTCTGCTCTTATCACCCAGAGGCAAAGGTGTGGGATGGGGGAACTGGTGTCACCTGTGGTGACTGGACAGCCAGAGAGCTCCTGAGCCAGGGACTGGAAGCTCTGATCCCAACCAGGGAAAGGAGGTGGTGACCTGCCTGGGACACACACCAGGGCTCTGACATGTTCTCCTCCAGGTGCTAACCGCAGGCTGGACGGCCCTGCTGGGAGAGGCTGTGGCTTGAGAGCCAGGCATGTCTGGGCAAATGACCCCAGACTCCGCAGCTGCTCTGGGGAGGGCCAACTGGCAAGTCACCCAGCCTCTCAGAGAATTGAGTTGAAAGCGCCCAGTGTGCGGCTCGGTGCACAGTAGGCCCTTGGGAAATATCCACTGCCCAGCACAGTGGTGCGTCGGGGCTGCCTCCCCACCTCTGCTTTGTCACCGGTCCCTGGGCAGCTACACGCAGCTGCACTTCGGCCTCGGGACGGCCCGAGGAGGCAGGTACCCCGAGCAGCCCCAGTATAGAAATGTTGAAAACAAGGCCCAGAGATGCAAGCACACCCGCCCAAAGCCCCACAGCCACGGGGCAGGAGAGCTGGGGCTGGAACCCAGGGCCTGCTCGTAACCACCCCCAGTTGGGGCAACAGGGCTCACACCAGCCACATTCCTGTCCCTGAATGCAGTGCTTGGAGGCAGACAGGCTGCAGGGGAGGTCCCTCTCACCCCAGGGCAAAGGGGACACGTGTAGCTCCCGAGAGGGGCCCAGGCTCCCCGGCACCAGATGGGTTAACTCCCTCTCCCCCAGCTGGCCCAGCCCCCAGCACAGGCCCACCCTACCGCACACCCAGATGGCTCTGTTAGCCAGCCTGAGCACTATTGGCTTAGGCGGCCAGAGTGTTTTTAATGAGATTGCAGGAGCTGAACACTTGGGGTGGGCCAGGAGGACGGACCAAGGGCACAGCTGCCCCCTCTGCCTGGGTGCCTGGGGCAGGGGAGGGGAGGAGAGCCTGAGTTTGAGGGCAGAGGGGAGGCCAGTGCACAGACAGGAAGGAAAGGAGTCCCCCCAGGACCTGGGAGTGGAGACAGTGAGTGAAGAACGAGGTTGTGCTTCTGGCTTGGGGTGTGACGCTGGCTGGGCCTTCTCTGGGCCTCAGTTTGCTCGTCTGGAAAATGACAAGTGTGGCATCTGACTCCCCAGCTGTGGACAGGGGAGGCCTGACCAGTGGGAAACACGGGCAGGTTCTGTAAGTTGCGGCTTGCTCATTCCTTTGTTCCCTGATTCAGTAAGTATTTATCGAGTACCTACTGTGTGCCGGGCCTCCTGCTTGGGGCTGAGCCTGCAGCAGGGAACACACAAGAACGTCCGCTCTCAGGGATCTGAGATTTGAGTGGAGGGAGACAGGTACTGAGCAAATAAATACACATATAATGGAGTATGTCGAGGGGATGGTGTATGGTAGGGCTTCTATTTTTGAAGGGTAATCAGGGAGAGCTTCCCTGAGGAGGTGACCTCTGAGTAGAGATCCGGATGAGGAAGTGAACCAGGTAGGTGTCTGTGGGAAAAGAGTTCCACGCATAGGAACAGCATGTGCAAAGGCCCTGAGATATGAGTATGTCCAAAAGTGCATGGTGGAGACACAATGAGGCGGCCTGTGTGGAGGGAGCAGGATGCCCCAGAGAAGAGCGGAGGGAGATGGTGTCTGAGGAGGAACTGGGGCCAGGCGGTACTGAGGAGTCAGTGTTTTATTCTATGTATACAGAGAACGGGGGGTGTAGCGTGACTTTACCGACGATCTAATGGGATCCTTCTGGCTACCAGTGAGTATGAACAGTGGGGGCAAAGGGGAAGGCTGGGGACCAGGGAAGAGGCTCCCACAAAAGTCTGGGCAGGAGAGGCCAGTGGCTGGACCAGAGTGAGGAGAGTGGAGGTGGAAGGTAATGTTTGGATTCTGGGTACATTTTGAAAATAGAGCCAAGGGGCGCCTGGGTGGCTCAGTCAGTGAAGCGTCTTCCTTCAGCTTAGGTTGTGATCTTGGGGTCCTGGAATCAAGACCTGTATTGGGCTCCCTGCTCAATGGGGAGCCTGCTTCCCCCCTCCTGCTTCCCACTCGTGCTCTCTTTCACTCTCTCGCTCTCAAATAAATAAAATCATTAAAAGAAAGGAAGGAAGGAAGGAAGGAAGGAAGGAAGGAGAGCCAAGGGCATTTGCTGAGGGTCTCAATGTGGAACGGAAGACAAAGAGAGGAACTGAGGCCGATGCCAAGGGTTTTGGCCCAAGTCAGAGGAGGAATGGAGGTGTCACCGAGACAGAGGTGGGGTTCCCATGGCATGTCCTTGGTTCACATGTGCACATGGGCATGCGCACAGCAGGTGGGTCCCTGACCCCTGGGGAACCCGAGGCGGGCAGAGAGAGGGACCCCGGGCACTCACCAACACCCAGCATGACGAGAGGCGTGTGCTCCCAGCGGGCCAGCAGCAGCAGGTGGACCAAGTTGTGGGTGATGAGGCTGAAGCACAGGACCACGCAGCACCACTCCTGGAAGCGCTTGCCTGTGGGGACAGGAGGCCGGGGGTGAGTGCAGGCTGGGCGGCAAAGGCCATGGGGCTGTGGACCGAAGCCAGGCAGAGCCGGACCTGTATGAGCTCTCCTGCCACGGTCACAGAGCCTGACGCGCCAAGCACAGGCTGAATGTAGGCGCTGCTGTGAAGAAAAGATCTCACAGACGAAGTCACAGAGGCCCAGAGAAGGGGAAAAGTCTGCCCAAGGCACCGGCCCACGAAGCTGGCCTTACACAGGCCAATTCTTTGGCGGATGGGACCAGAACTTGTCTCCTGGGCCCTTGTGGGCTTTCCGTGGACACACTCCAGGGAACTTTAATGAGCTTCTTCTGACATCGTGGCATCACTTGTCCCCTTTTGTACATAATTACTTGGAGGTGGAGGCCACGAACACCTTTTAACCTCAGAGGATCAGATCCTGCCCAACGTCCACCAAGCAGGGGTCTAACATGTCACGGGTTTAGGAGAAATGGGCCTGGTCATCACTTCTACGGCTCCTGCTGGGAGCAGGGGGGTCTGGGAGCATGACACAAGAGAGGAGGGGCCAGGCACGGGACATGGAGTAAGGTGGGCTGTGAGGGGGTCGTGGAGTGCGGCCCCTATGCCCTTTGTGAAGGAGGTCACTAATGGGCAGCCTCCTGCCAGGTGGGAGTATGGGCCCAGAGTGCCTGAGCTCCTAATTCCCAAGAGAAGCCAGAAATGAGGACACGGGTATGAAATCTTTTTAAATTTCCTGCCACATATATTTTTTTTAAAAGATTTTATTTATTTGACAGACAGAGATCACAAGTAGGCAGAGAGGCAAGCAGAGAGAGAGAGAGAGAGAGAGAGGAGGAGGCAGGCTCCCTGCCTAGCAGAGAGCCTGATGCAGGACTCGATCCCAGGACCCCGAGATCATGACCTGAGCTGAAGGCAGAGGCTTAACCCACTGAGCCACCCAGGCAGCCCTCTGCCACATATTTTTAAAAGGCATGTGAGCTCAGACAAGTGATTCACTCACTGCAGCCCCATCTGTGGTGTCTTTTGGGGGGTCCCAACACTGCAAGTGGCCAAAGCCCGGGGGATCAGCCAAATTAATTTGGTCCGCGGCATCCTTGCAGCCAGCAAAAATGCCTGGGTGGCTGTCTATATGTGGACACAGAGGATGTCCGGACATACTGTTGAATGCAAGAAAGCCAAGGGCTAACCAGCAGCCATTTATGCAAGAAAAGAAAAAGCTACCTCATCAAGACTGGCTTTCACTTACTCCCCTTGGGATTTTGTGTTTGTGAATGCACTCCCCTATCAAAAATCTTTCGTAATTGCAAATTAAAATTAAAAAAAAGGGGGGGGGAGGAAAACATTGTGTGGGCGGTGCAGACTGTGCTCTAGGACCCCTGGGGATATTGTTTTCCCAGGCAGCTGGTCCCAAGGGCATGGAAGACCCTTAATGATAATAATTTTCCTATCATCAGTGTTTAACATCTACTAAGCAGTTGCTCTGTGTCAGGTACCTGCTGAGGTGATGCCATTTTGCAGGTGAGAGATCAGAGGGTCAGAGTGGTCCCAAGGAAGGAATGTAAGGCTGTCCAGCTAGTCAGCTATCGACTAGGACCCTACGGCCGGGCAGGTCCTTGTGAGTGATTAACAACTGAAGGGGACACGGCAGAGAGAGAGGGTTCCTCCTGTGTCTGTCCTCTCTTAATGCTTGCTATTCCCTTCACTCCCTTCTGACCCGGAGAGACTCTGGCAATGCCCTTGCAGACCTCGGCCTGGAGCCTCCACCTCCAGGAGGCTATCCATGACTCTTGGACTCTCCCGGCATAGGGCTGCCCCTATGACATCCACCCTCCCCGACCCGAATGTGAACTCAGGAGGTCCAGGACCATGTCTGGCTTGCTCACCAGGGCCCTGGCACAGAGCTGATACTAACTAAATGCCCGTGGAATGAACAAGTATCTAACAGAATCTTAGAGGACAACTGCCAGGCTTTGTCTCTGGGTACCCCTCACCGAAGCACCTTAGAAGAGAATATCAGGCATTCCACTGATCCTGAGAGGGAAAAAGGCTCAGAGAGAGAGAAGGGCCTTGGCCAGGCCATACAAAAGCAGGCTGAGCCCTGGGCCAGAATCAGAACAGCAGCCCTCCCCTCACCCTGTGAAAAGACCGAGGGTCAGAGAGGAGAAGGAACATGCCCAGGGTGGCATCCCCTTGGCCCCCCTCATACAGATGAGGACACCAAGGCCCAGCGAGGGCGAGGACCCGACAGCAGTCCCACAGCAGCAGAAGTAGCCTGGAACCTCTCGAGTCCCACTTCTTAGTGGCCATTTCCCTTGGGCCACGTGACCCTGTTGCTCCAGTGGCCCCTACCTGGGGTCACTGTAATCTGGCCCAGCACGGCCTTCCCCTTTCTGGTTCCTGTTTGTGGCCCAGGCCCGGGACTCGGAAGCAGAAGCCCGCAGGGGGCAGGTGGAAGGGGTAAGGAAAAGGGGATTGTCCACGCCAGCCTGCCTGCCCGCCCCCCGGACTGCAGGGACAGCAACACAATGGAGTAGCCAGTAACAATGGCCGACACACGCCGAGGCCTAGCATAGCCGGGGTGCCGGGGCAGCCCACGTTAGAGATGCCACAGACCAGTGCCCTCCAGGATATTCTGCTCTCGGCTTAAAAGAAAGAAAAAAAAAAGCTACATTAAGAAAAAAAAAAATCAGCTACAATTTCTGATTTCCTGCTTCCCTTGAGAACACAAGGCTCTGGGCACCCCAGGCCTGAGCAGCAGGGGCTGGCCACCCCCATCGGATGGGGGCAAGAGCTCCTGGTTCGGCCCAGTCTCTTTCCTGTGGCCTCCTACTGGGTGGCTTCCTTTGGGGGCCTTTTTGACCCGGAGACCAGGTCACTCCCTCAAGTCTCAGTGCTTCCAGGGATGAGCTATGTAATCTCACTTCCCAGGTGAGGAAACTGAGGGTAAAAATTTTCAGCGGGTAAAAATTTTTGGAGGGTAAAAAATCTTCATTTTCAGCGGGTGAAAATGAAGAGCTGGGTTTGGATCCTGGGCTTGTCAATGGGACACACATTAGCCTGGATGTTCAGAGTTCTCCTAGTTCTAAAGAGTGCTCAGCTCTCTCCCTGTGTCTTGGAGAATGTCCCTGAAATCTGATTAGTCCCCAGCTAAATGGCATCCATCTCTGGCCTCTAGAATCCGGAGCCTCCCCAGCCTAAGGGCTTCCACTTTGATCCATACAGAATACATCTGTGGGGGAGCCTGGGTGGCTCAGTGGGTTAAAGCCTCTGCCTTCAGCTCAGGTCATGATGCCAGGGTCTTGGGATCGAGCCCCGCTTCGGGCTCTCTGCTCAGTGGGGAGCCTGCTTCTCTCTCTCTCTGCCTGCCTCTCTGCCTGCTTGTGTTCTCTGCAAATAAATACATTAAAATATATATATATATCTATAACACTAAGTGGCCTTCACTGAGCACCATGACTGTGACAGTGGCTCGGACGAGCTCGGCCAGCCCTCACCATACCCTTTGGGCTGGGGACCATCTGCCCTGTCTTACAGAGGGAGAAATGAGGCCTGAGAGGTGAAAGGACTGGTCCAAAGTCACAGCACAGACAGCTAGCCTGGCAGGGCCTGTGAGGCGAGGGGTGTAAGCAGCGTCACTATATAGATGGGCAGACTGAGGTCCAGGGGGAGAGAAGGGCTTTGGTTAGGACACAAGTGCTCGGGCCACCTCTGGCAGAGTGCTGGACCCTGTTTTCCTGAGCCAGCCCCTGGCCTGGCCAGGGTCCATGATCTGGGCTCCGAGTTATGGCAGTGAATGCCTGTTGGCCTGTTGCGTGTGGTGGCTGTGGACGGCTGGGAGGAGCAGGGAGGCCAGGCGCCAGGCCTTGGCCATCTTTGCTTTCCTGGGGGCAGGCCTCAGCGGCCAAGGGCTTGGCATCAGGCCCGACTCTCCTCATTTCAGTCAGACAAGCCCTGAATAACCTGCGCTTCTGATGGCCCTTGGCGTCGGGGAGGTGCGGGGACAGAAGGTAGAGAAAAGGCAGGAACCGGAGAGAGACAGAGGAAGAGACAGAGGCCAACAAATGCGAGAGAACAGGAATCAGAGACACAGAGAAATAAGAAACGGGGAGACAGGAAGAGAGGAAAAACAGAGACATGGAGAGATTATAGGGAGACAAGAAGTTTTAAAAAAGAGTGTAGCCAGAGAGGAGAGACAAAGAAATGGAAAAAGAATGAGACTGAGGGAGAGAGAGAGAAAACTCAGCCCAGAGTGGCAGGGACCAGGCCTAGCTTGGGAAGGGGCCCCGGGTCTCTGGCTTCAGTCAGGCCCATTTGGGGGGACTGAATCTCTGCCCTGACCCCAAGCTAAGAGATCCTGTACCCCCCAGGGCCAGAGGTATGTGTAGTTAGCCAGGGTGGTGTGACCCCTGAGGGCCCACCCCCGGAGCCTGGAGCCCCTGAGATGTGGCACACACATAACCAGGTTTCAGTGGGTACCTGCTGGGAAGCTGTGCGAAGCCTTACCCCCAGGCTTGCCCACGAGGCCTGCCAAGCCTGCTAGGGCCTTCAAAAATCCTGGCACAGGGCAGGCTGCTGCGTGAACCCCGAGCCTGGAGTGCAGTGGGCTAGGGGACCCTCCATGACTCCCAGGACTCGCGGGACCAGGCCCCCACTTCTTGGCCAGACACTCGGGGCCCACAGGATAGGGCCGTCCCGCCACCCTGTGCCGCCCCAATCAGACTACTCACAGTTCCTCGCAGACACCAGGCCCACTCGTTCTCCCGCCGGCCCTGCACACATGCTGCTCCACTGACCTGGAACACTGGGCCTCTCCTGCACACCCACCCTGGGCTGGCTCCCTTCCACAGTGACGATTAAGAACACGGAACCTAGAACATCCCCCCTCCTTCCATCAGTGTTCTGGTTCTAGCCCCGCCGCTGACTGGCTGTGTGACTGTGGGCAAGGCTCTCCTCTTTGCTAAGCCTCAGGAAACATCTTCAGGATGGACAGGGGGCCCATGAAGTGCCAGGCAAATCAAACACAAGCAGTCCTGGCCTTGCTGACCCTGCCCTTTGGGAGGGGCAGAGGCAGGCTTGATCCCACACGGGACAAGCATTAGGAAGAACACATGTAGGGGCTGGGCCATGAGGAGGCTACAGGAGGTGGTGGTGGTGGGGGGAAGCCTCGATTTCCTCCCCTAAAAAATGCAGTTAGCACTGAGGGCACACCTGAGACAGTTGGAGTGAGGATGAAACGAGATCACATGAAGGAAACGTCCCGCACAAAGAGTGCTAAAGAAATCTCCGTTATGTTAACTGCCTTATTATTGCTGCCAACTGTCACATTGCCAGTCCATCTCTGGCCCCAAGAATATCAAGAATTCAGTCCTGGAACCCAGACGCTTCTCCTACTCTCTCCTTGCTCATTTTCCCCCAGCCTATGGGACTCCTTGGCATTCTACAAACACTCTGGGCATGCTCCCACCTCAGGGCCTTTGCACTTGCTGGGTCCTTGGTCTGGACCAATCCCTCCTCAAATATCTTCAGGCCTCCCTTCCTTCACGTCTGTGTTCAAATATGACTCATTCAGTGAAGCCTTAACTGGCCCCTCTCTAAAATGTTACTGCCCCCAACAACATTTCACTTCCCCCTTTCCTGCTATATAATTGCTCCATAATGCTTGCCACCACTGGGCAAGGGATTTCTTCTCCTTATTTACTGGGCTTAGTAAAATGCCAGTTCTATTTTTCCTATCTTATTCACTGCTTTGCCCTCGGGGCCTAGAATGGAGACCAGGACAAAGATGCTCCAGACGTATTGAGCCTGGTCCCTCTTTTTTTTTTTTTTTTTAAGATTTTATTTATTCGGGGCGCCTGAGTGGCTCAGTGGGTTAAGCTGCTGCCTTCGGCTCAGGTCATGATCTCGGGGTCCTGGGATCGAGCCCCGCATCGGGCCCTCTGCTCGGCAGGGAGCCTGCTTCCTCCTCTCTCTCTACCTGCCTCTCTGCCTGCTTGTGATCTCTCTCTGTCAAATAAATAAATAAAAATCTTAAAAAAAAAAAAAAAAAAAGATTTTATTTATTCATTTGACACAGAGAGAGAGATAACAAGTGGGCAGAGAGGCAGGCAGAGAGAGAGGGGGAAGCAGGCTCCTGGCTGAGCAGAGAGTCCGATGCGGGGCTCGATTTCAGGACCCTGAGATCATGACCTGAGCTGAAGGCAGAGGCTTAACCCACTGAGCCACCCAGGTGCCCCAAGCCTGGTTCCTCATTTTGTAAGTCAGGTCCAGAGAAGGTCAAGGTACTTCTGCAAGGCCACATAGGAAAGGAACAGAGACAGAGGGAGGGAGATCTATGAAATTTGGAGAAACCAGTCTGACCAGTCTCCTGCTTCTCCACTCCTCACTCTTCACCACCTGGCCTCCTTCCAGCTCTGAGTCAAGAGGAGAAAAGGCCTTTACTGAAGATTTGGGGGCATCTGGAGGCTTGTCTGTACTCTCAGAGCCCTGCATGGCTGTTCTTCAGAGGGTGAAGGGCACTTGGGGGAAATCAGAACCAGACAAAGATGCAATCATCAGGGGAATGGAGAAAGGATCAGTCTCTTGGGGGAGCTCAGAATCCCTGAGTATTATCTGGCTGAAAGTGGGTAGGGTTTACTCAGGTGGGCAGAGCTGGACACCAAAGGAAGAGGCCTTTGAATCCTTACCCTGAGTCTCAGATGGTGAGTCTGAGGACGAGAGAGGTGCAACCCCTTACTTGAAGACTCACAGGAAACACCAGCCTATTGGGGGAGCAATAGGGAGCACCTACTGCATGCCAGGCACTGCATCAAAGTGGACGATCTCATTTCCTCTTCCCCCAAACACTACCTGAGGAACAGGTAAACTTTACTTTATGTCCATTTTGGAGATGAGAAAACTGAGGCTCAGAGGGGGAAAGTGGCTTGGCCTGGGTCACACAATAAGAAGCAGTCAGGATGCCAAGCCCAGACTGTCCCAGGGAGTGCAGGAGGTTTTAGGTCCATAGGCTAGGTGCTTTGGGAACAAGCTAAAGAAACTACAGTATCATGTGCCAGGTACCCAAGTCACTAAAACAAACAAACAAAAACACAACCACATCCAGAGCATGGAATTTCAAGTCCATAAAGGGCCTCTGGTGACCTAGGACTCAACAAGAAAGCAAATGCCCCAAGGTCACAAAGCCAGCAATGGCAGAGATGGTATGCAAACCCCAGCCAGTCATGGTAGAAAGCCAACGGTGGTAGTGGAACCATGCCCACCCCAGACAAGGGCTGTGCATGGTGGCTGTCCCCTGGCAAAAGATGTCAGAATGTTTGACAAACAAAGCTTGGTGTGATGGCGACATCGGGGTGGAGGGGCCTCCTGCGGCTCCAGTCACCTGACTCTGGAGTTCTCCATGGCACTTCCTTAACCCCTAGGGGCAGGCCACCGCCCCCCCCCCCCCCCCCCCCCCCCGGGGTTCCCCCCGGCCCTCCCCTTCCCCCCCGGGGGGGGGGCCCCCCCCCCCCCCCCCCCCCCCACGCAGTGAGATTCCCTGGGCTCTCTTGGAAGTCAGAGAAGGGTGGTGGAGCCGGTGCTTGCTGGAGCATAAATGGTAGGCACAGCGGGAAGGAGCCGGGGCAGAACAGGCGGCAAAGGTCTCTAAACTGTTGTGGGGTTTGGAGAATGGAGGGGGCTGATACCTGCAATGGGAAAGGGGCAAGGGCTGGACTTGCGGCTTGCAGATGGGAGGAGCCTAAGCTAGAAGATTTACAGTGCCCTCACCACTCGGGATACCGGGATACCGGAATAGAGTGAGAGCGGAGGCTCCTCTCTGCTGGGGGAGGGGGTGGTCTGTGGCCACTGAAGCTCTAATCAGAATAGGGCTTGGGGGAAGGGCGGCGTCTGGGGCGCTAGGTAGCCGGGAGTCCCTAAGTTGCGGTTCCTAGAGCAGAGAGGCTGACGTGCCCAGATTTGGTGGGTGAGGTCACTGTTTGCTGCCCAGGCCCTGGCTGGGGCACAGATGGGGCCCTAGGCTGTGAATTCCGGATCTGAGGAACCTGGGATGGGATGTGACTTATAAGAGGCCGGGGGGGAGGGCGGGTAGAGGGAGTGGCAGTGCAGGCAGCAGACGGGCTGCCTAGGATGGGGGTCCCCAAGTCTAGGGGCGCTCTTTGCAGCCGCGGATGCTTTGAGGCTAGGATCCGGATCTGGGGGTCCGATGGGAGCTCTGTATGTGGCCCGGGGAGCTGATATGGCAGTTCCTTGATACAGGGATTGTCTGTGCATCTAGAAAGCCCCGTGCCTGGAGCTCTGCCTGGAGCTTGGGAGGGGCCCTGGGGTGGGGTCCCGGACTTGGGGACACTATGTGCAAGTTTAGCAGCCAAGGCTGGAGTTCTACATCAGGGCCCGAGGCTGGGGTTCCGATCTGGGGAGCCCGGGGTCGCTGTCAGCAGCCCGGGCTGGTGACTGCAGGCCCAGAGCCGGGGCCCGGAGGTCTTACCTGGAGAATAGAGCGCGGCCAGTTCGCGGGCCCCGGCGTGCTGCGCGCCCCAGCGCCGGCAATACGCCGCCTCATCCTCGTCGAGCTCCGGCTGCTGACCCGGCCCGTCCTCGGCGCCCGCCATGGCCACTCGCCCGGCCCGCCCGGTGCGCTCTGCTAGCAGCAGCGGCGGCGGCGGCGGCGGCGGCGGCGGCAGGGCCGCGGAACCGCGGCGAGATCACGCCGCCCAATGACCGCTCAGCACCAGGCGCGGCGGAGGCGCCGGCGGGGGCCTCGCCCGGCCGCGCGTCACAGCCAATTGGGGACCGCGCCGGGGCCGCGGTGGCCAATCAGCGGCCTCCGAGCCGCAGCCAACCGCGGCTCTCGGGAGGCAGGAGCGCAGCTGGGCGCAGCTGGGCACGGAAGCGTGGGGCGGCGGCGCGTCCCTTCCCGCAGCGATCCGCCCCCGGCCGGGGCCCCTTGCCTGTCCAGCGGAAACCGCGGGCGCGGCAGCACCCCCCGTCGCGCTCGGTTTACCGGCCTGTGTAATGGGCCGAGGTCGTGCGCCGCCGGACCCAGAAACTGGCGTTTCTTCAGCACTGTCAAGCGGCTCCTGTGTGCAAGGAGCGCGAGTGGGGGGCGCTGGGCCGGGGTCAGGGAGCCCGCGCTTGGTGGACACTTCGAGCAGAGCTCCCTAGCTGGGGCCCTCTCCGCCTGGGCTAGCTTCTAGAGCCCTACCGCGTGCAGAGGTGACGAGGACTGTGCGTACACGTACTGTCTGCCAGCAGGTGTTGAGCATCTGGGGAGAGCCGTCGTCGAGCCTGACCCCCAGGACCTGCTGTTCTCCCGAAGGAGAGCACAGTAAACGGATGAGAATGACCTTAAGCGTCCCTATAAGATTTGGTGAGCGCTTAGTATCTGTTAGACGCTGGGCCAAGAGCTCGTCAACAGCCTTTCATTGACTCCTAATAACCAGTGATGTTGCCTCCTCAGAGTCCCCTCCTGACTTCCCAGCTCAAAGTTGCTCCCTCCTCCAGTCACTGTGACATCATCAAGTTTTGTCTTCACAGCGCTTGTCATGGGTAATGAACTTGCAGTTCATGTGCCACCCACCAGAAAACCAGTTCCTCAGGGCCAGGGTTTGCTTTGTTCACAGCCGAATCCCCATGTCTGGATCGGCATAGGGCACGTGGTGGAAGCTCAGTAAATGCTTGCTGAGTGAATTAAGGCTCAGCCCAATGCTTTCATTCAAATCCTTTGCCCATTGAAGAATTGGATTATTTGCCTTTTTATTGTTGAATTGTAAGAGTTCTTTATGTGTTCTGGACACTGGACTCTTATCAGATACACGATTTGCAAGTATTGTTTCTCATTTTGTTTGTTTTCACTGCTTGCATAATGTCTTTTGATGCACAAAAATGTTTTTACTTTTAAAAAGATGTTTTTACTTTCCATAAAGTCCAGTTTCTGTGTTTTTTCTTTCTGTGTGCCCTAGGTGTTATAGTTCCATATTCTTTTTTTTTTTTTTTTTTACAACATCATCGTATTCCATTGTGTGGCTGGACATAATTCATTTAAATAGTTGCCTATTGAATGGACAATGGAATGGAATGCCTATTGTTTCTGTCTTTAGATGTTGTCAACTATGCAACGTCACTGTTGCATGTGAAGGTAGATCAAGATGACACACTCTTGAACTGGGATCACTGTGATAAAGTTAAATGTCTTTGTCATTTTAGCAGATATAGAACAACCATCATTAGGTAGGTGGATACTGTGATTAGAATCACATGCTAGGGCACCTGGGTGGCTCAGTGGGTTAAGCCTCTGCCTTCAGCTCAGGTCATGATCTCAGGGTCCTGGGATCGAGCCCTGTGTCGGGCTCCCTGCCCAGCGGGGAGTCTGCTTCCCGCCTCTCTGCCTACTTGTGATCCCTCTCTCTGTCAAATAAATAAATATATTTAAAAGAAAAAAGAATCACATGCTAATTTACACTCCCACAGCTGTGTTCAAGAGAACTTGTTTCCACAGCCTTGCCAACAGAGTGGGGCTTTTTACGTCAGGTTAAAGATTCAGCCCTTCAATTACACTAAGCACATTTCAATAGTCACCTGTGGCAGGTGACAAGCGAATTGTACAGTACAGATGTAGAACGTGTCCATCATCACAGAAAGTTCTGTTGGGCACTTCTAGTAAAGAGTTGTGAGTTACCCTGACTGTGCATTTTAATAGGGTCTCTCTGGCTGCCTGCAAGGAATGGACTCCGGGACGGTGCAGAGGCAGGACACCAGGAAGAGGTGACCACGACAGCTCAGGTAGGAGTGGATGGAGGGTCAGACCAGCGTGATTGTGGACGTGGGGGAAGTGGTTGATTCTGGATGTGTTTTTGAAGGTGGAGTGGCCAGCATTTGCTGGTCAATGAGATGGAGTGGGGTGAGGGAAATAGAAGTTTCAGGTTCTTGGTGCCTGAACCACTGGGAGGATGGAGGTGCTGTTGACTGAGCTGGGCGAGAACACGGTGGGAGCACGTTGGGGGAGCAGGAGAGAACAGCAGTTCTATTTTGGGCATATTGTGTGTGAGGTGCATGCTGGATGTTCTGAGCAGAGATATCAAGTGGGCATCAAGTTGTTTTTCTGGCCTTGAGAATGACATGCGCTTTTGATCACCAAGTTAGAGCAAAGTCAGTAAGGAGGAAAGAGGCAGAATCACGTGCCTAAGGTGGGACTGGGAGGACAGTGCAAAGGTCAAAGGCAGTGCTGGGCAATGGAAGGAGCTCAGCCTTTGAAACTTGGAGTCTCACAGCTCTGTTTCTGAGCCTATGTAGGTCCGTTTTCCTTTGTTAAAAGGAAAGAGAGTGTGTCATAGGCTTTCATAAGGTTCACAATGAACACAATGAGAGGTAGGGAGGAGACATTGCAGAAAAATGTTCATCACCTCCCTTGTGTGTTATACTTGACTATGGAGGTGTTGGAACGAGATCCACACCCTCACCTAACATTCAAGGCCCTGTTGGTCTGGGCCCTGCTGACTCTCCAGCCATGTCTCTTCACATCTCTCAGTGTCATCCTGCCGCTGGGCCTTAGCACTTGCTGTACCTGCTTCCTGGTGAACTGTCTCCCTGGAGAGGTATGTGGCTGGCTCCTTCTCCCCCTTGCAGTCTCTCTTCTCTAGTTCCTCCTAGCTCTGAGACTCAAGCTGCAAAGCTGTCTGAGATGGACACCCCCACAAGGTGTCACAGTGTTGGGGGATGGAGCCCCTGCTGGCTTGCCTCAAGTCACGTTGATCTGGATGGCTCCATTCACTTATTCATCAGATCTTTACCGAGAATTGCTGTGGGCCAGGTACTATGCAAAATGCTGATGGTGAGCAGCAAACAAGACATGTGGGGGCCCTGTTCTTAGATTTGCAAGCGGGACAGACAAGAAACAGGTAAAAAGATAATCTAATTTCAGGTAGGGACCAATGATGTGGAAAAGTGAAGCAGGCTGTGGAGATGGGTGGAGAATGACAGGGAGGGCTTCATCAGATGGGGAGCAGAAGGTGTCAGGAAGGCCTCTCGGAGGAGGTGGCAGTTGAGCAGAGACCTTGAGGAAGGGAAGGAGCTGCCAAGAAGATACCCAGAGAGGAAGTGCAGAGGCCCTGAGGCAGGAGCTTGCTTGGTGTGCTCAAGGAACAGCAAGGAGGCTTATGAGGCTGGAGCAGAGGGTGAGTGGAGAAAAAGGGGGAAGGTGGGATCAGACGGGTACAAAGGAGCCAGATCGTTAGGCACCATTTAGGCCAAATAAGTGTTGAATTAATGCATGAGTGAAAGAGGCAGACAGAGAGCTGTGGGAATGCATATGTAATGGCTACCAAGCTCAGGATGAGAAATCAGAGATGGCTTCCTGGAGGAGGGGATGCCTGAGCTGACATCTGATGTTAAGTAAGAACTGGCTGGGGGAAAGGGAGTCAGGTGAGGTATGAGGGTCTTCCAGACACAGGGACTAGCCTGTGCACAGACCCAGGGGTGAGAGATTGTTTTACTCACTGAATGGAAGAAAAGACAGTAAGCCAGGCTGGGGTATAGCATGAGAGGAGAGTTGCAGAGAAATGGAAGATCCATGGGGGCCTGGGCCTGCTTGGTGCCCTATAGAGAACTCTTGACCTTTCCAAGGGCAGCACCAGGGTGCCCCACAGAGCAGAAGATCCAATTGTGCTTTGAGAAGCTCCCTCTAGCTGCCCAGAGGAGGTGGATTAGATGAGGGGAGGGAGATGAATAAGAAGGGTCCACAGGGATGATGGCTGACGGGGCTGGAGGTCAGGGGTGATGGGTGAGGAGGTTGTGATGGAGGCTTGTGCCAGCAGACTTCCTTCTTCCCCCTCTTTATGCCTCCTCTTCAACCTTCTAGGAGTGCTTGTGCTGGGTGAATGTTTTCAGCATCTGCCCCAAGCCAGCCCCATGCTGCGGGCTGAGGGACCTGGGGGAATGGAGTCTCATTCCTGAGAGACGTTTCTAGTGACACACAGCACCCTATGTTAAGGGGAAATGTTTAAGCTCCTGCCTCATGTGTATTTATGTAGGCTCCACACCACACAAACTGACTGCAAAAATGAGCTTCACTCAAATTTTCATTTTTACCTTCATTTATTCACCCAGCAAATATTTATTGAGCAGGTATTACAAGGCGGGGCCTGCTCTAGGTGACAGGAAAGAAAGAAGACAAAAATCTCTGCCTCCTGGAGTTGACAGCCGGGGGTGGGGGATAGAAGGGGGAGATGGACAATAATCACTCATACTAAACTATGCTGACATGACTGCTTTGGGGGAGAAAAACACAACAAAGCAGGGTAAGGAGGATTGGAAGGTGGGAGGATGGAGGGCAGGTTGACTAGCTAACTCCGGAAGCCAAGGAATGCCTCACGGAGAAGGTGATAGACTAAAGATAGAAGGTGAGCAGATTAAAGGAGGGGATGGAGGGAGCCATGTGGGACTGTAGGGGAATAATGTTCCTGACAGAGCAAAAAGCCAGTGCAAGAGCCCTGAGGTGAGAAGGAGGCTTACTAGCTTTTGTGATTGACTGAATGTGTGGGCTGTTAAGAAAAAGTGGGATTAGGATCCATAGGGATCTAGGAAGGTCCAGGTCTTAGCCTGGTGGAGGGACCAAGGGCATCAGAGTTTCCTGGCTGTGAGAAGAGTCTCAGAGAT